ACTGAAATTTATAAACCAATTAAATCTCCAACCAACAGTATAAATGACAATAAAATTAAAGACGACAATAATGAAGATGATATTTCAAAAGCTCAAAAACCCGAGTACATAATCACTGAACATGATATTAACAACCTATGCTATTTATTAATATCAATTGAAATACCTTCTTTAGTAAGTATCCAACTATTTCTCGATTATTTAAATACTTGTCAGAAACAATATTTACTCATTTAAAATGTTGATATATGACAGGAATTAATTGAAAAGACAATTGTAGACATAGAATCTTCCAGACTTTTTGTAAATTCTTTTGGAAAATATGTATTAGATTTACCATTACCTTATGTTGTTGATATTAGTACAGCAAAAGCTAAATTTGTTAAATCCAAAAAAAGATTAATTGTAAAGGTAGGAAAAAAAACGGGTTGAATAGAGAGAAAGAGAGTAAGTGAAAGAAAAAGGTAGGCTATTATTTATTTAAAATTATGTTATTGTTATCATCATCATTGTAATAATAAGAGAAAATAAAATAAATATTATAAATATTGTAATTTTAATAGCAAAGATTAATTGTTTTTATTAATAAAAAGTTTATGATACAGTAAAAAAATTTATGATACACATTTTTAGTTTTTAACTCTAATAAAAGCGATTCCATGTTCGTTTTTTATTTTTGGTTCACCAATGACCATTAGAACACTGTTTGTTGGTATTTGATTATATAATCTATCTATTCTATTACTGATATTTTTTAAGCCATTTTGATATTCATTTGGATCAATTGTTTCAAGATCACGAAAATGTGCCCATACAAAATTAGGTTTTCTAATTTTTTTAAGGAGTTGTTCTTCAACCTAAAATCAAATTAGCTTATATTAACACATGTCGTATCTATTACTTGTAAATAAATAGAAAGAAGTACCTCTTCGTCATTGGAACATAAAGCAAGGCTTGCATTAGAACCTGAACCGGCACCATATAATTGATACTTGTCATTATAATCAATGAATGCAGTGGATCTATTGCTTATGTTTAAAACATGGGTTAATGATTCTTTGTGCCTTTTAGCGTAGGTTTAGGTATTTTATCCGAATAGCACATATTTATAAAAAATTTCATATCTGATGGATATTTATTTGCTTCTATAGAGGCTTTAACCAATGTTTTTAATACTATTCCTGGTTTTGGAAGTATATCGACCGTCTCGTACACAGGACTCTGATCACTTGGAAACAATTCAATTTTTGGTTGGAAATCATCCTCGACTTTATTTTTTTTTTAAAAAAAAGAAATCTTAGAATTAACTAATTTAAAATTTTCAATAAATACCACAACTTTAGATTAATTTCTTACCTTGATGCATTTCCAATTTTTTTGCTTGATTTAACAAAGGTTCAAAAAAATCCATTGCTTAAAATTAAATTATCATGATTACAGTTATTATCACCCATTATATAAATGACCAGTTGCACAAAATTTTTATTATATCCATCCATCTGTAGCAAATAATAATTTTTTTTAGTTACATTTATTATCCATAATGGCAGAGCCAAGCACAATAACGACTCAAAATGAAACTAAAGAAAAAGAACCAGAACCAGAATTGACTAGCAAGGATTATTATTTTGACTCATATGCACATTTTGGTATTTATGTTGACTAAAATTAATAAATGCATTTTATCCATTTATCCTTTATCATTGTTGATTTTTTTTAAAACACCAAGGCATTCATGAGGAAATGCTTAAAGATGAAGTTAGAACACTCTCATACCGTACAGCAATTTATCAAAATAAACATTTGTTTAAAGATAAAATTGTATTAGATGTAGGGAGTGGTACTGGAATCTTGTCAATGTTTGCAGCAAAAGCTGGTGCCAAACATGTTTATGGAGTAAGTATCAGAGCATATGAAATGTTTCAATATAAAAATATATACGTATATTTTTTTAATATAATATTCATTTATTTATGTGATAGATTGACATGTCAAATATTACTGATCAAGCACGACAAATAGTTGCAGAGAACAAATTAGATGATAGTACGAATTTACTAGCATGATCATGATTGATTTGAATTAAATTTATTTTAACTGAACTAATTTGATTTTGATATAATCGATTAATTGAGCCTTGATTTTCAACATATCACATATCAACACATAATTTAATTTGAAAATATTATCAGAAATTACCCTCATTAAAGGCAAGATGGAAGAAGTAAAGCTACCGGTTGACCAAGTAGACATTATAATTTCTGAATGGATGGGTTACTTTCTTTTATATGAATCAATGTTAGACACAGTCATAGTTGCGCGTGATAAATATTTGGTACGTATATACATATATTCATGAGTCAATTGTTTGGATGAGTAATTGTTCATTTTTACGTACATACATATATATATGTGCGCAGATAAATAAATATTTATTCATTTATTTGTTAAATAGAAACCTGGTGGCATGATATTTCCTGATAAAGCCACATTATTTCTTTCTGCCATTGAAGATGGAGAATATAAAGAAGAAAAAATTGGATGTAGGGATTTATATTTAAAAATAATTGCTATATCATAATTGCTATGGTAATTACTATGTTTATAATAATAATGATGCTTTCTCTAGTTTGGGATAATGTTTATGGCTTTGACTTTAGTTCAATCAAATCAGTTGCTCTTAGAGAACCATTAGTGGATGTTGTTGATTATAAAGCTATAGTCACAAAACCAAATGCTATAAAAGTATTTGAATTTTATTTAATTTCTCTCAAAATTAAAATAAAAAATATATTATTAATAATTTTTCTTGGTGGTAATAATGATTTTAGGAAATTGATATTAATACAGTTCAGAAATCGGATCTTGATTTCAAAGCTCCCTTCACTCTAACCGCTCTCAGAGATGATTATATCCACGCGTTTATTTCTTGGTTTGAGATCACCTTTTCAGTGAGTGGAAACCAAATTTGTATATATCTGAATTTATGTACGATATCGTGTAACTTCAATCTAACCGCTC